CGGGCTGGCCTGAGGGGATCAGCGCGACCTTCCGCTTCCTGCTTTGGCCGCAGAGGCAGCTCCGCAGGGCGCCAGGCGCCTGTGAAGGCCCGAGCTCCTAATGGATGCCGCCCCAGTGTTTGTGCAAGCGGGCCCGCGACAGGCAGGCTGGACTGTGGCCACCACAATATGCCATTGTTGCCGGGAAAGTGACAGTGGCCTGTGTTTGCTCGAGCACACGGTGGAGGAGGCCAGCACACCTGTCTTATTTCAAGCCACTTCCTGCTGGGCATGCTGGGAAACTGTCCTGGTGGCCACAGTCCACAGGGGTGCTGGGGCATCCGCCGCCCCCCTCAGAGCCAAGCTCTCCCCGGTCCTCCCCGCTGGGCCAAGACGGGGGCTCCCAAGCAGGTACCTGAACGCTGCAACACACACGCTGCTGGTCAGTGAGAACAGGGCCCTGACCCAGCCTGTGGCTGGCACCACTCAGCGCCAAGGGCAGCGCCCGTGCAGAGGTTCAAGGTGGAGATAAACAGTAACCACTGCCTTTGGGGCTCACCACCCTGCCCAGGGATGGTCATTACTGTTTCATAGCTGGGAAAACTAGCCCTCAGAGAAGTGAGACGACCTGCCCAAGCTCACAGAGCTGGTACATGGGGTCAGGATTCCTACTTGACTCTTCTGACCCAGAACTTGAGCTCGTTCTGCATCAGAGATGGGCCTAGGGCCCAGCATCTCAGCAGGACCTGCCTGCAAGGGTCCTCCCCTGTACCCTAGGCCCATGGAGGCACCCCACCAGGGCCTTGGGCACCCTAAGAGCATTTCCCCAGAAGCTCGATTTATCCAGAAGGTCCCGGACCTTCAGCAAGGCATTCGGGCACTGGGGCCAGATGGTCTGCAGGGTCACACACCCGCAGAGAGCCCACCCTCCCGCCAGGTGCCCACGCTCACCCTTCAATCAGACCAGCCCTGCCCGGGTGTCTCCTGCTTCCAGGAACGAGTCAACTCCACCAGTGTGGGTTCACAAGTGCTCGCTCCCCTCGCCCAATCCTGTCCACGAGGCCCTGGGCAAGAACTCCGCATCGCAGTGAGTGAGAACCGACTGCTGCCAGCCTACTGCTGTGCTCCCACCTAACCTTGCTCCACTCTCCACAGCCCCTAAGAAGCCGCCACCGGCAAGAAGGAATCCAGGGGAGCCCCTGACAGCACACGAGGGGTCCGGGAGCCCAAGGCACCCTGAGGACAGCAGCCCCTCACCCAGCAACAGCAGCTGGGAGGAGACTTAGCAGGCTGCTCCCAGGGGCACCACAGCCTGCCCAGACATGGCTTCCCACCCGGCCACCAGCCCGGCAGACGGCCCAGCACAGAGCACGAGGGGACTGGGTCCTGGCCTGTGGCCACAGGGGCTGGGAAGCCCAAGAGGGGGTCTTTGGCTGGTCATTTGAACCCCTCCATCTCTACCCATCTCAGAAATGACCAGCTGGTCCTGCTGCCCCTCCCACACCCTAGCATTTGCTCCCTTGGGGGAAGTAGGGTTCAGGGAGGCAGGGGAGGCAGGGGTGACTCCGGCTGCAGCCCAGCCCAGCCCAGCCCCCACCCCGGCTGCTCATAGGCAACCCTTCCTGGGCTGCCCCCACCTCTCACCATCGCAAACTCCACTGGCCTCCCTGACTCCCAGGGCCCTGCTGCCTGGCCACCCCGTCCCTGTGGTCTCAGGCGCCCCCTCGTGGAGTCCCGCAAACACGCTGGGTGGTGAGGGTGTGGGGTACCCCAGCAGAGGTGGGACACCCAGGATCAAAGGTGTCAAAGATGGCATGTTCGGCTGGCAGACTCAGGGGTCAGTTGGGTCTCCACCTGCCTCTGCAGATGATTCGAGAGACTCTGGGATGCATCCAGGCCTGAGGAACAAAACCAGCCCCATTTGCAGAGGGGCACCTCTAGGGAGGGCTGCAGGGAAAAGAACAGGAAATGTGTACCAGTCCCCCCACAGAGTCCCCTCCTCACTGGCTACTCCTGAGGCCCTGGCCCCACATCTGCCGCCGACCGCTCGGCCACCTGCAGGGCCCCAGGGCAGCTGGCCCAGGACTTGACCCTTAGCGCTCAGGGATATCCTGCTCCCTCAACCATTCTCACTTCCGGAGGGTGTGTCTCAGAGCACCCTCTGTGAGAGGAGCTTAAGCAGGTTCCCAGGCCCCATCCCAGACCCACTGAATCCAGGTCTTGGGGCCACACCTGCACATGAAGTTTGAGAAATCTAAGAACTGCCCGATGCAAGGCAAAGGCAGGAGATCGGGCAATAACTGGGCTGGGTGAGGCCTGGGGCAAACTGGAAGCACAGGCCGGACCATGGGAACACCACTCCGCCTTGCTCCCTGTGGCCGGCCCAAACCCCAAAGGGACTAATTTCCCAAGAGAGAGGTGTAGGGGTGTGTATGTGCATGTTTGTGTGTAAGTGTGTGTGAAACCTCCTGTTAAAAGTTGCTTTGATTTTCCTGAAATCAAATAAAAGCTGGGTGCTCCATTCACATCTGACTTGTAGGCCAGGGCTGACTCAGGGGTACCCTGGGCAGTGGAGAAGCCACATGGGGTGGGAGCCCAGGGAGAGTGCACAACAGACCCTGCAAGAAGACCACGTTCCTCCTGGGGTCCCCCCATCACCCTCAAAACGTCACTCAGCGCCAACTGGCAAAGGATAAACAACACTCCAGGGCCCAGCTCTGTCACCATGCTGCAGACAAGCATGGATGTGGAGCCAAGAAGCAAGAGCAGATAACACTCCTCTGTCACTTTGCCCCTCCATGATCCCCTGGGCACAGCACTTTACAGCCCTGGTCTCACTCCTCCCTTAGCAGCACCCCACGAGGCACACACAGCTAGCACCCCCACTTTACAGACAGAGAAGCTGAAGCTCAGGGAGGGTAAGTAACTCACCTAAGGTCACCCAGCTGGCAGGTGGCCGAGGAGGCTGAAGCTGGAGCTGAGGCTCTTAGCTCCCTGCTCCCTGTGCATCGGCAGGCAGCAGCGGCAGGGGCACCATCAGTGGGCACAGGGACTCCCCAAGAGGGGCCTTCAGAGTGCAGTTCTCGTGCCCATGAGCACCTGGAGGCACGTGTTCAAGCCCCACTTTCTACCCGATGGGAAACTGTCCACTCCCTCCCAGGCATGGGAGAGGCTTTGAAGACCAATTTGGAAGGGCAGAGGGAAGAGGAAAGAGGTCAGGCTGGACACTGGGTGAGCCTACGCATGGTGGCAAATGAAGATCAGTAGGAGGGGACACGGCCACTATGAAGGGGGGTATGGCGTCCAAAAGGGGAGCCCAGCCATGCAGTAGGTCTCACTTGGGACAGGAAGCTCTGTCTCATGGCGTCTGCCCCGCCCCGCCCCGCCCTGGCGTCCAAAAGGGGAGCCCAGCCATGCAGTAGGTCTCACTTGGGACAGGAAGCTCTGTCTCATGGCGTCTGCCCCGCCCCGCCCCGCCCCGCCCCACACCCTCTCCAGCATGGGCACAGAATACACACGGGGTAATGGCGTGTGCCGAGCGGCCACACACGGAAGCGCTCTCTGAGTTGTGTGGGCGAGCCCACCAGCAGGTGCCCGGACCTGCAGCCTGGGGATGCCCCCTCACGGAGCCAGCTTCATCTTGACAGTACCCTGAAGTCACTGTCCCAGGCAGAAAGCTGGGCAGACCAGAAGAGTGGCCTAGAGGTGGCGGCAGGACCCTGTCCCGCAAAGACACAGGTGGGCTCCTGGGGGCTCCAGAAGCAGCACCTGAGCATGGAGCCACCTGCTCTGAAGTCAGGGGCACCTGGGTACAGGAGAGGGAAAGGAGGCCTAGGCAGCACCAAGGCTCAATGTCACTTTGCTGCTGAGGGCAGTGCAAGACTCTGCCTGGGACTGAAGGCCCAGCACGGCCCCGACCTGCCGGTGATTCCAAGCAGGTGCCTTCTCCCTTCAGACCCTCGGTGTCTTCTTCAGTCAGCGAGGGAAGCCAGGCGGCACCGCCCGCCATTCCAGGGAGTCTTAGGGGCTCCTCGAGGGGATGGCCCTTTGCAACCTGAACGCCCCCCCCCAGAGGGCAGGCGGCACGGCTTCAGCCCCCCACCCCGCGCCCCAGCCGCTAGCACTGACCCACACCCCACAGGAGACGTGCACTGGAGCCTAAAGACTCAGGCTGCACGGAGGCTGACCATGAACGCCGCAGCCCCGCAAGGAGAACCGGGCGCCGGCGGCCCCGTAGCCGCTGCTTCCGAGGAGGGGATTCGAACCTGGGCCAGCGCCGCCGCTGGGCCCCCGGCCAGGCCCCGTGGGGTGGAGTGCCCCGCGGGCGCCGGTCTCCCGCTCCCCCGGGGCGCAGCGGAACCGCCTCTAGGACCCAGGGGAGCCGCCCCGGAACTCCGCGGCCC